CGTCGCGCATCTTTGCGTTCTGGCGGGGCTGCGCGCCCGAGAAGACACTGAGAGGCCATCGGGCAGCTTCGCGCCCGTAAAGCTTTACCGGATCCGAACAAGTGAAACACCATCTCAGCCACCGTACTTGAAAGCATGCCCCCCCCCGCCTCCGCCTCATGCCCCCCCCCCTTTTCTGTGCAACAAGCATAAAACGCAGTGGTCACAGTCAAATGATAGGACGAAAGCGGACTAACAAGCAAGATGATGATCAATCCGAGACGGCAGTTGTGACGTCACCAGCCCGATCGATCATGCGACAAGAATCACGACGCTGGTCGACGGCGGATCGAACGACGGACAATTTGCGTGGTCATTTGAAACGTCGTATCTCCCTGTCAACAAAACTTTTCAGCACGCATCTTGGCGAAGATCGTGACCCGAAGTCACCAACGAGTCTTTTTGGCAAGAAAGTTACTAGGGAGCGGCGAGGTAACCGACCGGAGGAATCGGAACAGAGGGTTCGCATGTTGATGTCAGCAGAGATGTATGACCGAATCACGCGCGCCCAGAAGCAGGAGCGTGATCATGATTCAATGGTGAATCAATTCAAGCTGCGCACGACACCCACTGGCCTTCAGGGCGACTCGATGTGGATCAACTTCGCTTTGAGCTCACCTCAAGGACTAGGCATGCTGGCACCGCGAAAGCGTTGGTCCCCAAATGGTTGGTCCCACGCAGCTAGGGTCGCTCTTTTGCTGACAACGCTTGGTCAAGAACGTGACCTTTTGACTCAATACCAAAATCAAAATATGGCACATATTGTGGCACGCCTACGTGAGCAACAAATCCTGGACTTCATGAAGACAACGTGTTCGATCCTAGTCCTGACGATTGCCGACTACTACCAGATCGCGGCCGAGCTTGCAGAACTCAGATCTCTTCTTGAGAATTTCTTGCAGCGGTCCAATGCAAATTTCGAGATGCATAGTCAGCACGAGATACTTTTCCCGTTCAACTCGCTCGAATCGCTCAAGGTTCAGTTGAAAAAGCTCCAGGCTGCAGAGGTTTCAGACGGCTGGCACGCCTGTGTTAAAAAATGCGTTGCTCAGAATTTGCGAACAATGAACAGTAGTAATGATCGATCGCTTGACGCTATGGTTGACCAACAGCAGTTTGTTCAGCCCTTTCAACCTGAGGGTCCTGGCATGCTGGCTTGGGAGATGTTTATTCTCATTCTGCTCTATTGCCAGTTCCTGATGGTGCCGTTTCTGCTTTCATATCCAATGCAGCGACGTGAGGTCTTCTTTGACCTCATCGCAGAGACTTTTCTTTTTCTCGACATCCTGGTTCACTTCAATCTGGCCTATTTTGCGGCACCTCGAGATTCGACGGAAAGATTTTCAACTGATTTTATGCCTGATGGAACCACACGACCATCGATCAAGAAAACGCCAATCCTTGTTCTAGATCGGAGGCTCATTGCATTGCATTACGTCTCGGGCCATTCGTTTTATCTCGATATTATATCAGCTTCTCCTATCATTATATCGATATCCGCAATTTTTGACGGCAAATCAGTCTACAAATATGCTTCTGTGAAGCTCCTTAAGTACGTTCGCATGTTTGACAAAGAGCGAATGACGAGCGTCACTCGGAAAGTGCCAGGCCTCGTGTTCCAGCAACATGCGCGGCAATCTAGCCGATACACATCACTCCTGAAGCTTGCCAGCTTGCTTTCAATTATTGCAATTACCATGCACATACTTGCCTGTGTCTGGCATCTCATCACACCGCAACATCACTGGGAGCTCCGATATAATCAACACAATGACACAGCTGCTTTCCTATCGTACTCAAAACTTCAACGGCGAAAGCTCTATCTCATGTCCTATTATGAGTCTATTCTCATTCTCATGGGTGAGCAAATTAATATGTCTCAGATCAAGGAATATGTTTTTGCGATCATCTCGACTGTTCTTTTCTCATTCCTCCTAGCCATCATCTTTGGTGAAGTCGCGATGTTCATTGCCAACTTTAACGAGCTCCCTTTCGCGTACTCCCAGAAGATGTCCGAGTTACACGAGAGCATGAGCACGAAGTCGCTCCCCCGTGTTCTCCAGGACCGCGTCTATGCCTTCTACGACTTTTTATGGAGAGAGCACAAGACACTGAATGGCAGGCTTAAAGTTGCCGAATTTCTCCCAGAACTCACATCAAACCTGGCCATCGAGGTGCGTCTGTTCTGGTGCAAGGACATGCTCCTGAATGTGCCCTTCTTCCAGCTTTTCCCCCCACCAATTGTCCAGCAGCTTGTTGTGACCGTTGATATAAATTTTTACATGCCTGATGATTATATAGTAGTGGCAGGTGGGATCGGCCATGAAATGTTCTTTCTGAAGAAGGGGAAAGTCGATATCTTTCGTGTCGACGAGACAGAAATAGAAATATCTGATGATTTTGCGGTTCCAAAACCTGCAAGTGGTGTTAACGGCCACGCGGTCATAGAAGAGCAAAGGCGCAATCCTGGCCGCAGTTTCATAAACTCTGCAAAATCGACGACACGCTCAATATCAACTGGTGTCAAAAATGCCGCCCTTCAGGGTGTTAGTACAGTAAAACAGGCAATGCCTGCGCGAAAACGTGGAGCTTCTGCTCTTGAGGTAGAACCACCAATTCATACTCCACCCGAGAGGCAATTCAAGTGTTACACGGCCAGTGAGATGAGATGTCTCCCAACAGAACTCCAAATGAATGTGACCGCTGCGAGGCTTTCGGTAGAAAAATCTGTTCGGGTCCGTCGCATGCAGCGCGAGCAGATCCTCAGGACACTCAAACCTGGCGATTTCTTCGGTGAGATTGCGCTCATAAGCCAGTGCCCAAGAACTGCCACAGTCAAAGCTCGGTCTTTCATAGAATGCGCCATCATCCTCCGCAAAAATATTGAAAACATGCTCCTCGATTATCCGCATAAGCATGCAAAAACGCTGGCCATCATCAAGGCTCGCTACAAGGCAGGAGAAAAACTTCAACTGGACCAACACAGATCTAATGCTGCGATCGCAAGCTACAGCGATCACAAGAGAGCAAAAGCCTCGGTGCTGAAGCTAAACATGAGTAATTCGAACAGTACAACGATGGGCTCGGGGATTACCTGCGGGGTCGGGGGCTGCTCCAAAGTCCACATTGACGTTTGCAACCAGCTCACGCAGGTTGAAGCCTCCACACAGGGTCTCGGGGGCAGGGTCATACGCCTCATTGATGCTAAATTAAGCAGGAAGTCTAGCCAGATTGCGCGATCCGGAGGACGACCCACTCACGTATTCGCCCAGTGCGACTCAACATCTTGACGACGTGTGCAGGTCCTGCGGGGACTTTGGCACACGCCAGGGGTTCCCACCAATTTTGTGGACGTCACTGCACGGTAGCCTATATGCCCAATCCGCACCACCTTACACTGGGGTCTGCGTTTCACGTCTGCAGCTCACGGGGGGATTGCAATTTCGTCAGCTACCTGGCAGTAGCAAGGGAGCTCCATTGAGCAGGGCTGAGCCGCGTTCGGCAGCTTTGTTCTCCTGCTCGTTGTGCTCTCTTACAATCACCACACGCACGTGTCCTCCCCTGCGAATCCATGCAAGGACAAAAACAACCATGGGGCTACGGCTAGGTACCAAAACACGCCAAAAAACGCGTTTAAAAACGCCAAAAGAAACGTGGCCGGCGTCGCGTAGGGCTGCGCCAAAAACAACGTGGCCGGCGTAATTTACGTGAGACACGTGGTACGTGGTACTTTTTTTTTACTCAATTTTTTTCTAGTCTTGTCAAAGGATTGTAAGGCCCTTCAACTAAAATACTAAGTAGATATTACCTCTGATCTCCCCGGGTAGCCTAGGGGCACTAGCGCGGACCCTCAGCCTGGATAACACCAAGGCAGCCCTCGCTAGATGTGAGATAAGGAAAAAGGGATGACTTGGCGACTGGGAACATCATCCGGCGAAAACAAAAAAACAAAAACAAAAAGCTCCGCGTAAAAAACGCGCAAAACACGCGCAAACACGCGCAAAAAAGCCGTGGCGACGGCTCTCGTAAAAACGCCGTCGCGTAATTTGGGACCTAGGACTACGGCGCCGCGGCCCTTACTAGTAGGAGTACTATGATGATACTATAGCATCCAAGGCTACCACCATGCTCCCTAGCGATGCTCCCTTACCTACCCTCATTGCACTACAACCCCACAGGCACCGAACGCGGGAAACTCGACGCTTTCTAGTTTGGACCCCCGACTAGCATACCTGCGCCACGTTGGAACTATCCGACACATTGTGTTTTGAAGTTGTAGCAGGACTTTTTTATCCGAACCGGTAGTGGGGGGCTCCTTCTCACGTTGTACCTCGCTAATAAGGCCACGCGAAAATTCACTCCACACTTCCTGGAATCCACGTGGTAAGGCGGACCAGTCGGGATGACCCGGGTTTCTTCGTCAGGCTTATGCCCCCGCCCGCGCCTCCCAAGGGCCCCCTGGCTTATTCGCTCGCGAAACAAGCACGCGAAGATCGGGGCTATATTCCTGTCTCTGGAAGCTGGCACCGTGAGCTGATACAAGACGGGCATGTGCCAAGTGGTGCGCGTCCTTGCGTTGATTTGGCGCCGGCTGGAGGCATGCGGCGGCAAAATCAATGACCTCCAATAGCTTGGATGACGATGAGGAAATGCGGCCAGGCGGTGGCGTTCCAAAAGAGGGGGGGGCTTTTCGAACAATGATGGTACGCGGGTCTACGCTGCGTCCATAAGGAATTGTACCATAGAACATCTCGTACACGCAGATACCGAGGGCCCAAACGTCGCGTGCCACCGATCGAGCCTCGACTACCGTGGGTCGATCGCAGCAGCATTCTGGAGCTAGATAATGCAATGTGCCAGCCACAAATTTCTCAAGGTGGAACTTTGAATCCTCGCCCAATCTTGATAATCCGCAGGCAACGCCGAAATCCGCAAGCTTGGCGATGCCCCTAGAGAGCAAGAGGATGTTACTTGACTTGATATCGCGGTGGCAAATTCCCATGTCATGGATATGCGCAAGAGCATGGGTGACGCAGGCGCATATGGCGCCGATCTCATCCGTAGATTGAATTCCCAGCAGGGCATCACCGACTGTTCCGCCATCACATAATTCCATTACGAGCCAGAACTCGTCGTTGTATGTATAGCTGGTTTGGAGAGTAACGACGAATTGTGATTGCACGTGCATCAAAATCGCCCTCTCCATCACAAGTCGCACCGCTGCTTCTTCGTACTTTTTATTCTCGTATTGGTTCACAGTTGTGACCTTTGCAGCGACAGCTCTCCTTGATAGTTCCCAGAATCCTCGTCTTTGCTCACATTGCACGACGATACCAAAACTTCCCCGACCAATGATCCGAGACGGTAAAAGCCACTCTCGTGGTTGATTGATATCGACACCTGAATTCCACAGTGTAATAACCATCTCGCACCAGCTCCATTTTGGTGTCTCGTCACCTGGGGAATTGGCCGGATCGCCATCCGACTCCGTCTCCGAGAAAAAACCACAGCCAGAACTGGTAACAAGGACGTTCGAGAGTACGTGATCCCTTGCAAATGTCAATCGCAGTACATCCGGACCTCCCATGCGGCCTAAAAAGTAGCCTCCTCTCGGATATGTGCAGGTGATATTAAGGAATGATACAAGATATAGAATGATGTAGTTGGATTAGGAGCTGGGTGTTGCCTTCAACATGGGCTCCACCCAACACGAAGTCAGCCCGAAGGCGCACTCCGCTACTCCCACCTACCGGGAGAAAATGCATCTGGGTCTTCGCCGCGTCCGCCGCGGACCGACGTCGTCCCGTGCATGATCCTCGTCCCTGAGTCCTCGAGCTTTCTGCTCTCA